TAATTACACCTATGAAAGGCTATTTTATTAATAACGCGAGCATACTTATTAAAATAGGTGCAAATAAAGATGACAACTTTTAAAACCTATTCATATTAATCTAAAAAAAGAAAATCACGTATCATTTAGAAAAACAATATAAATCTATTTGAAATTCTCATAATCCATATAAGGCAATATTCGCATGACATCCCAAACATTCAAATTCAATATAATGTCCCATTGCTGCCTAAATATACACAATTTAAATTACATGATCCAGTAGCCACCGAACAAACAACACTTGGAATTATAAATGTAGCCTTGTAAGAAGGCAAATTGAAATAGCCAAAGAACAATTGAACACCCTTAACAGCAACAAACAGGACATCTACGAAAAACTACTCTGGACCAAATGGAAGAAATTACGCATAGACTCACGGAAATTCCCAATAAATCTGAAGCTCAACACCAGTTTAAAATTATAAAAATATTGAATGTATTATACAAAGGTTCTATCCGGACACACAGTATATATATATATATATATATATATATATATATATATATATATATATATATAAGTAAACATTAAAAGTCAACACTTAGAGGCGACAGACTGTTTCTGCAAGACGCAATCGTCAGGACACTTGATTGGGTCCAGCATGAAACAGTCTGTCGCCTCTAAGTGTTAACTTCAATGTTCACTTTTATATTTACACATCTCTGATATTGATATCCCATAAATATAGCGCACCTTAATAGTATATTTTTCTTATATATATATATATATATATATATATATATATATATATATATTAATCTATGCCGATGATACGACGATATACGTGTACACCACTACAACACTTGACGACAAAGAATGGCAGCTGATCTCTCTCCTGATCGGGTACTGATTTTCTGGTAAGGAAAAAAATAGCTGGTTACACTCAGTGTCTCGAAAACCAAACTAGTTAGATTTTATTACCGCCGATCAGACTGAACTACCGGCGATCACGATGAAGGGATGTCCCCATTAGGAAGCCTCATCCCTTGAGAGATTATTGGGCCTAAAACTCACATCTGACCTAAAGTGGAACTCGTACATACGATACATCGATAAAGATGTGGGTAAAAACATCGACTCTCTGTACCAGTCCAGCAAGTACCTGATTCCTCATACTATCCTTTACTTTTACAAGAGCTAAAAATTGAGTAAGGTTGTCATATTTGGATGGCAGCTATACAGTCGTCACTTTCCAGTCTCGATAGAGACCATATCGTCTCCGAGTACTTGTAAGTGACGAACTCTTTTCCAGCCTCCATCTTCTCTCTCACAGGCGAGATATGTTGTGTCTCTCACTGCTCTATAACTACTTCTATGCCAAGTGCTCGAACGAATTACATTTCTTGGTTCCGCCAGGTCTGACGATCACGGCAAGGACCCACCATGCCACTTATTTTGTAACAAACTACCCACGTATCCCTTGTATTCCATTGCGGAGAAGTAAGTCCCAATCAAACAGCTACTTCCCACGAAACACTGATCTGCGGAATAGACCCCCAAGAGGCTGGTTCCCAAATCGCTAATCTGTTTAAGTCTAGAGTCAACCGTTATCTTCTCCTCCCCCTGTCCGTTTAAAATACTCCTTAAATTACAAGTGGAACACAGGCATTTTAGAGAGTAAAAACTGTAAATAATATATATATATATATATATATATATATATATATATATATATATATATATATATATATGCAAATAGACAAAATGAAAAAAAAGAAAAAAAATAGGAAAATTCAGAAATCTACCAACAGAGTAAAATGCTTAATGCCGAGACAACCCAAAAAGAGCAAAAAAAGATTCACAACGTCAACAACTAAGAAAACTTAGCTGGAGTCTTTACTCAAATTTCACGTTCACTCGCGATATTCAAATGTATCTATATCTATATCTATCTATCTATTTATATATATATTATATATATATATATATATATATATATATATATATATATATATATATATATATATATATACACGCAACTACATAAACCGAAATTTTTAAAACATTAATCAGTTTGTCTGACGATCGCTAAAAGCGTGAAACCCAGGGTCACAAACTCACATCTATCCAACCAAATATATATATATATATATATATATATATATATATATATATATATATATATATATATATATATATATATATATATATATATATATATATATATATATAGTTTTAAGGTATGCTATGAGATGGGATAAAGTGCTCAAAATCAGAGATAGAGCGTATGTACATATAAAAGTAAAAATTGAAGTCAACGAGGCAACAGACTGTTTCATGTAAACGCAATCATCAGGACTGATGATACACATACACACACACACACATATATATATATATATACATATATATGTATGTATGTATATATATAAATGTGAAAGTCAACACTCAGTGGCGACAGGCTTTTTCATGTTTCATCAGGTCTGAGTTAAAATGCATTTGATTACAGTGTAGTAGTTTGATATAATTCGAGTTATATGATAACGTATTATGTTCATTTCTATTTATGTTAATAATCCCAATAGCTTGTCTAATTTGGTCATCAATGATCTAATTAGGAAAGTCATTGTTAATGAGGGTTTGTTTAAGAATTTTTTAATTCAGTAGAAAACATCTTTCTTGTTGAAGAGTTTGTTTTTTCACGTTTTCTTAATTTCAAGTTTATTAAGACCTTCCCATTTTAATCAAAGACATAGACGAAATATATGAAGTACAAAAAACTTTAAAAAGACTCTGTACTTAATTTCACATACAAACTTAACAAAGACAATAACATTCTGTTTCTTGATGTAGTGATAGACATTAATAATAATAAATTAACTACTTACCCATAAAAACAAACAAAAAAACAACTAGTATAATCATGTGCACACTTTACTATAAAAGTGAATATCAGTAACCCTTTGTTTCTTAGTGGCCTTACTGCTTTTCATGGAGTGAAATAATTATAAAAAAGGGTCTGAAAATATCTTGATGTCTCCACTTTACTGCTAGTGTCTTTACTATTCACAGTGTTTTTCAAACCGTTTCCTTCGCTAAATAATACGCAAAAAGCATTTAAAATATGCTTCATCATATAAACTTCAAAGAATTTGTGTCATTACTTTTCAGCTCCCACTGAAATATTACTACTAATAATGTATAGCTGGCCACTCGTATTCGAAAATACTCACCTACTAGGGCGGCTAGCGAATCCCTATTGCAGACGGTTGCTCAAGCGCATTTGTTTTTATTCAACACCTACAGAGTCCACCTGTGTTTTATACAGCAACTGTGCCGAGGAGATCCTTGTTACAGTTTCTGGGAAAGGGCGTGTTTTCTAGCGTCATCAACAGTTTGAACAAGGCCAGCACGATGACTTGTGACTAGCACAGCTATCGACGGCACCCAAGGGTTCCGAGTCCCCAATTTCACTCACAAGGCTCGCATCAACACGGGGTATAGTTTTCAGGCACGCCCCAAAGGTGCCGCACGCTGGTATAGACCTCCAACCGAGTCTTATAACATCAGCAAATTTCCTTCCTGGCAAATCGACCACGGTGAGATTCGAACCCAGGTCAGAATACGAATGTTTTAACCACTCGGCCACGTATCCTTATTATTAATAATAATAATAATAATAATAATAATAATAATAATAATAATAATAAATATTGGTCGTTCATGATCAATTATAACCGGAAGTGAAGGGTGCGCAGTCTCTGTAAATCTCCTTTTAGTCTGAGACAATAAGTCTCTCTTTTTGTCTAATAATTTTAAATGTTTTTCGGCCTTGTTTTGTTTCCTTTTGTTACCTCACCGTTTCAAATGACACCTAGTAGAAAATCCGACATCTGCGCAGATTGTCAATTTAACATGGATACCTTGAAGGTTTCATTTTTTATTCAGAATTTTGTGAAGGTTCGTTATCAATTTTTTTGGCTGTTGTTGCTTCTTTTTTACAGTAAATTTTTTCAAATTCTAATTTTTTGCATCGTTCAAAAACCTATTCAAGATTTTGCACTTTTGCTTCTACATTGCTAACTTCCGTCTTTCTCTCTGATTTTGAATGGCGCCAACATGGACAATAATCCATTTACCGCGCAAAAAGATGTTTTATTTGTCGGCTGCTTGAGTGGTTCATTAAGTTTTAATCTTTTCTCGTCCTCTCTCCATCACTTATTTTCTTTTCTGCTTTCTTTCATTCTTTTTTCATTTCTGTCTTTTCTTTTATTTCGACTCTTTTCGTTCTTTTTTTTTCATTCCTTCTTTCTTATCTAGATTCTCATCGAAGCTCTTTTATATTTCTTTATATATATATTTTTTTCTTTTAATATTACTCGCTTTTCTTGACGTTTTTACACTCTTCGCATTTTTCTTTCTCTTTCCAATTTTAATGATTTCAATCGTTATTTATCTTTTTTTACCTTGCTAGAGTACCGTGATTTTTAATATAATTTATATGACATCATATCTTCTTTGTTTGTTTGTTTGCCTGTTTTACTCTTTCTTTCTTTCATTCCTTCTTTCCTCAATTCTTCATTTCCACCATTCATTCTTTTCCATCATTCTAATCATGAAGACTTTACATGTCAATTTAGGGATTTTTTTCTTAATGTTTTTAAACGTCATGTCTGCTTTTCGTCCTTATCAAGTCACAAATTTACCATTTTTATGGCTTCATATATAAATAAAGAACATTGCATCTTATCAACTTATTAGATATATGTCTCGATGTGTAGAACGTAATTGTTCACTGGTAACTAATGTCTATGTGTAAATCATACATGAGCCAGAAGATATTCGGTGCTATGAACCTTTGATGAGTAAACAATTTTGATAAAAGTCACACCTTTTTTAAGAAGCAAAGTTTGAAAGATGTAAGCAAATAGAGAGAAATCGATTGGCTTTTCAAATTCCCATCGTCTGCAAAATTATTTGATAAAATTATGTATTTTTGGATACAAAAAAAAGACTGCTACAGAAGCAGGACTGTCAAGAAGAAGAAAAAAAGAAGAGTATTATTACTAGTAGTAATAATAATAATAATATGATGATGATGAATAATAATAGGAAGAAGAAGAGGAAGATGAAGAGAAATAATAATAATAATAATAATAATAGGGGACGAGAAGAAGAAGAGTGGTAGTAATAATAATATTAATATGAGAAAAAAGATGAATAATAATAATAATAATAGAGGAAGAGTAGTAGTAGTAGTAGTAGTAGTAGTAGTAATAATATGATGATGATAGGAGGAAGAAGAGGAAGAAGAAGAGGAGTAAAAATAAGAAGAATAAGAATAATAGAGAAAGAGAAGAAGATTATTATTATTATTAGTAGTAATAATAATAATATGATAATGATGATGATGATGATGAATAATAGGAAGAAGAAGAGAAAGAAGAAGAGGAATAATTATAATAAAAAATAATAATAATAATAATAATAATAATAATAATAGGCGAAACGAAGAAGAAGAAGAAGAAGAAGAAGGAGAAGAAGAAGAAAAGAAGATGAGTATTATTACTAGTAATAATAATAATAATATGATGAGGATGAATAATAATAGGAAGAAGAAGAGGAAGATGAAGAGAAATAATAATAATAATAATAATAATAATAATGATGATAATAATAATAATAATAGGGACGAGAAGAAAAAATGATAGAATAATAATATTAAGATGAAAAAAAGATGAATAATAATAATAATAATAATAATAATAGAGGAAGAATAGTAGTAGTAGTAATAATAATAATAATAATAATAATATGATGATGATGATGATGATGATGATGATGATGATGATGATGATAGGAGGAAGAAGAGGTAGAAGAAGCGGAGTAAAAATAAGAAGAATAAGAATAATAGAGGAAAAGAAGAAGAAGAAAAAAAAAGAAGACGACGACGTTACCTCCAAGTTAACGACTATTTAAAAGAGAATAAATACATGCATTATTTTAGATTTTTCATACAAAGTTTCCCAATTTGCAAGCCTCTAAGTTACAAATCTTCAGATTTATGAACAAAAACCTTTACAAAATACAATGCTATAAATTCTATAATTAGAAAGTCGATTCAGTCTCACATCAAATGTTGACTTTCATATGGATGTCATTCATCGTGTGTCAAACTCGTTCACAAATATCTAAACTGTCGGCTGTACACAACGGCTTTCTCTAATCGTTTGTTCGAATGGGTGAAGAGTTTAGGTCTCAATCAGAACCATCCATTATTCAAAACTTGGAGATTGGCCTTAGAGAATCACAAAGAACTATACCAGCTAAGAGAAACTGCATCACTTGATGATTTTCAGCAGCAGCAACATCTAAAATGGATAGCACCTGTAACACGGAGTGAGAAAATGTCATTATCAAGATACTGATTTTCATCACTACCTAAGGCAAGTAAGGAAGCCCCATCTTTACCGGAAAGAACAATCATACTTACATGTCTTGAGAAAACTATTTTCCTGAAAAATTGTTTAAGTATAGGATTGAATAAATTTTACCCAACTACATTATGTTATAAAGAAACAGCTAGTGGTACTATTAACATTACTATTTAGTAAGTGGTAACAATGAAAACCGTTTAAACTTAATGTAAACACTTCAAAAATCTCACAGAAGTGGAAAGGTATAAAGATATGTTAGAAATAAATAAGTAAACAATCTTCATTAGGGAGAGAAAACGCCAGGAAATAAACGTAGCAACGATTTATCACTGATAATATTTATCCTAAGTTTGAAAATGTCTTTTGTGCAAACAAAATTAATAGTTTTATTTCAATTTTCATTAAACAATATCAGTCCAAGTCAGCAGGATAGACACGAGAATAAATGAAGTAAAATAATATATAACAGTTTTTATTTAACATTTCGTCTTGTTCTTACATAATGGTGCTTTCTTGTGTGTGTGAATGCTACTGAAAGTCTTCATTGTCAGTGACTGCACTCTGGTGGCGCAAAAAGTTTACAGAAACGCCACAACAAATTACCTAGAACAATATGCAGGAAGTCAAGCTTCAAGTGGTTAGTCAGCAGTTGTCCTGATATAACACAAACGCAACCGTGAATGGATAGACATTACTGTACCTTTGAAGAATATCGAGAATGCGGAGCAAATAAAAATAGTGCAGGACAAAATATGATAGAGCAATCAGCGAAATGGTAGCATCTGGCAGCTGGAACTTTCCCTTTTGTGGTCGGGGTATTCGGGACTATTTCCAGGAATCTTTCTCTCTCACAGGATGCTTTGTGATAACGCAGGTATCAGCGCTGCGTTGAATAAAGTTTCATCTCTAAGTTGAGCTGAGACATGACCTTTGTCATTCGGCCAAAATATCAAATACTTGGGCATTATATTAAACACCAGCACCACCACCACCAACAACAATAACAGCAACAAAACAACAACAAAATTATTATTATTATTAATAATAATAATAATAAATGCCGTGCAACCTGATACAAGATGACCCAGAAACAAGTGATCATCTTGTATCAGGTTGCACGGTATTGCCACCCACTGAATATAAAACCCGGCATGACAGAGTTGGCCAATATTTGCATTGGAAAATCTGTAACTTCAATGGTAAGGAAACTGAAAGAAAGTGGTATGAACACCACCCAGACCTGGTTACGGAGACAGGACCTGTTATAATTTTATGGGACTGCACAATACACACAAACAGAACAATCAAAGTTAACCGCCCAGACATTGTTATTAGAGACCGCACACAAAAAAGTGCCTCCTTATTGATATGGCAGTCCCTGCTGATTGCAATATATCTTGGAATATCTTCAAAAAGCTATCAAAATACAAGGACCCTAAAATCGAAATAATAATAATAATAAGAAGAAGAAGAAAAACAAGAACAAGAAATACAAAAAATTGCTCTCACGAGGACAGCCCGCACCTATGTAAAACATGTGTGTGTGTTTAATTGGTCAGTGTAAAATGTCATGATGCCATTTCTTACCTTAGGTCTCTGGACAGGACTCGGAAAGAAATGCATACACACCAGAAATCAAATCAAATCAAATAATAATAATAATAACTGAGCGTTTGTTATAATCGTTAATCTTCTGATATTTATTAAAATTGTGGGAACTTTATTCTTACGTGCAATACTACCAAAGATAAAGTAAATCCTTAAGACCCAATTGATTTTAATGCGAATGCCAAACAGTACCGCATGCTTTTTTTTCAAATTTCTGGCGTAGTGAATTGTGTCATCGTGCGCTTTTTTCTCACAGACAGTGTCCAACTGACCCTACTATACTCTGCAGTGGACAAAATTAAAAAAAAAAAAAAAAAACAAATAACGTGCATGCGCAAAATTAAAAAATATAATGGCGACAATTTACATTGCTGTGAGGATGTTTTTTGCTCTGTCTGGGTCGTTAAACACTTCATTTATTGCGTGTTTTTTAGGTCACTCTTTTTCCTTTAATTTTTTTGGATTCTTCCTTGACTAAGATGTTAAGTGGTCTGATGGCCACACCAACACAGTTGATTTATTTATATATATATATATATATATATATATATATATATATATATATATATATATCAGGTCATCCCATAAGTTAGGGCCAAGCAGCTCAGTTCCTAGGAACCAACAGCCTAGACACCAGCACATATGAATTGATTATAGTGGTGAAGGCTTTGTGCAGAACCAACTAAACTTTTTGAAGGGCCGAGTACAGAGATCTGCTGCACTATATGCCACAAGGCCCCCAAACGACCCTCTGCGGGTTTTGAAATCAGAGTTTTCCTTCTCCTAGGCCAGTTGCCATCCAAAGCTATAGAACGGAGTCTGTCCTGCTGCTTACCCATAGCTGGAGAGAGAAAAAGAGGATTAATACCTTTACGAAGAGTATTAGCGCGAAAGTGAATGTAATGGATTCGACTGGAATTCGAAACCAAGCCGCTTATCCCCCTACTCCACCGTACACTCTTACACACATACACACACATATATATATATATATATATATATATATATATATATATATATATATATATATATATATATATATATATAAATATAGATTGGTGTATATGGAATAAATTCCAATAACAAACAAATAATATTCTTAAAAGAGTGCTCCATACAGAGTAGAGCAAATATAATCATTTATTAGAAAATTATAACAAAAATGTTATAAAATCACTACAAAAATAGCCATTTTGTTTCAAGATTTCTGGTGTCTTATTAAGCAATTGTGTGTTGTTGAATGTAGAATAAAGAGTTTTAAAAGGTTCAAACCAATCAAAGACTCCTCGCTAGGGGAAACGCTGTTACATAAGCTACAATGACCAATCAAAATACAAGTATATGAGAATTCCAAAAACTTGACAACAAACTTTGGTTATAATAATTATTTAATGCTTTAATGTCGTGGTTAGACTAAAATAGAATTCATTCTAACTAATTAATATTAAATTATACTATAAAATTCAAAATTACCAATTTTATCTATTATTTAATCTATATTAAGTTTAAAATTATAAAATTATTAAGAAGAAACTGAATTAAAAATGTTTTTTTTTATTTATTTTGTTATTATTGAAATTAAGTTGGAATAAACGTTAAGATTTAATGCTTCTCTGAAATCTGTTACGCATTAGATGCATTTGAATGGAAGATATGGGTTAGGGACGGTGAAATCTTGCAAAAGACAATACACACATAATCAGATACACAAAAAACGCAGACATATTTAAACATATGAACACGCAAAAAGCTACGAGACAGGAAATATGTCCACGGCCCTTAAAAAAAACATATACATACAATGAAAGGCATATATAAGCGATTATACACACATACATTGATAAAGACACGCACATATACACACATTCAGCGTTTCCCCTCGCGAGGGGTGTTTGGTTAATTTAAACCCTTTATTCTACATTCAACACCTTCATTTGATGAGACACCAGAAGTGTTGGAAAAAAATGGCTATTTTGTAGTGATTTTATAATATTTTTATGTTATAATTTTCGAATAAATGATTATATATATATATATATATATATATATATATATATATATATATATATATATATGCATAAGTGGATTGTGCGAATTTTAGATGTTTCGATTGATATTCTATGTCCGCTTCATCACAGACACTTGTAATTTTTTTATAGTATCTCTCCTTTCTTAGTATCTTTCCTCTATCTGTATATCTAACAATCTAAAAATGTATTGATCGTATCGATTAACGTTTAGATGGATGATGCATTCGGTCGCTTCATTATCTATTCTCTCAGGCAAAAAGGTTCAATCCAGTAGAATCATAAAATAAAACCTTGTAACCCTATCCTTCGTGCTCCTCGTCGCCGTTATAATCATAATCCTTGCCTTTGCCATCGACAGAATAACATGTAATGTGTTTACTCTCATTACTTACCTGTCCATTGATTATATTAACACTCTCTTCCAACAATATTCGACTACGCGAGAGACGAATGAAATGCAACCTTAAAGACGATGGCGTCTTGCTGAATAAGAGTCTATAATTGAACAACTTTGATCAGAAATCAAAAGTCACTTTGATCGCGATTCAATGGTAATTCTTGAAAGGTGCCGACCGCGCTTTCAGCCTGAGTGGTGGCAGGACGAGATGGACACTGGCCACGGTAATTGATTTTTAACTCAATGCTTTAACAGTGTAACATAATCAGCACTTTAAACGTTGAGTCTACGCCCGCAAGACCAACATCAGCCATAGTCAACTGATACAGAACCTGACTTTGAGTCTATCAAGTCAACAGTATTGTTAATCAACGCTTTTGTAGTTGACTTGACGAACTCAAGGATCAACGATTTCTTTTGTTTTCTTTCTTTTCAGAATTTTTATTTGTTTCTTGCCTTTAACGTTTTGCTTAAAATGACGGATTTCCTTATGCGATCTTGAATTTCTTAAGAATGTCTTCCCAAGCCTTTCTTTATCGTCCATAATTTTTATCTTTTTCATTATCAAGTTATTCCACCTTCACTTCCTACTCATTGATTTTCTTTTCTTTTTCGTGCATTCAATAATATTTAGATACATTTTTCATCTTCATTGTTTTAACATTTAACCCATAATTTTTTCAAGCTTTTCTTATTCGCAACCGCTTTTATTTATGGATTTACTTTCTTTTATTTTTTCCTATTTCTTTATTTTTTAATCAGTTTTGTTTTTTTTCTCTATGTCTTTCCCTATTTATCCTTTTCTATATTTTCATTTTATTTATTTATTTTCTATATTCATTCTTCTCTTCCTCTTTTTCTATTTCTTCTCTTCATTTCTTTTCTCTTTCAATTCTATCTCCTTTCTTCCCTTCATCTTTTTTCTATTTCCTATCTTCATTTCATTTCTCTTTCATTTCTATTTTCTTTTTTCTCTTCTTTTCTATTTCCTCTCATCATTTCTTTTGTTTTTATT